TAGTAAATAACTTGAAATGGCATAAATAGCATTAAATAGATGTTTAAACTTCTATTTAACAGATTACTAGATCAAAACAAAAGCTTTCCATACAAATATTGAAAAGCACAGCTGTTTTTACCATTGATGATGATGATAATAAGAATTGTTTTCGACCGGTAAGTCAGCATATTATTAGAATTCTCAAGGAGCTTTTAAATCTGAATACTGGATTAATGATATCACATGTAAAAATTCCACATTTTAGTCACAGAAATTTAATACAAGTGATTTATTTTTAATGTAATGGTATTTTTAATTACTGCTGTTTTATTGAATTTCTGTCAAAAACCTGGAGCTTTTAGCGTGGTGCTGCTTTAAAAAGAAAACTATATTTACACCAAACTTTTGAATGAATGTGGACTTGCATAACATGTGTTAGTAGTATTTGAAAAGTCAAAGAGATAAAATGTACTGTATTATTACACAATTATGATATGATTGTTGATTATTATAAAAATGCCCTTAGATATGGCTTTGGTCCCCTCTTCGTGGTGTCATTTTATATTATTTATTTTTTTAATGTTTCAAAGTTTCTTCTTATCTTAATTTTTTGAGTTTATTTTCTATATATCTTCTGCCAGTTTTATTGTCTGCGCAAATCTGTTGCCAAAATTCTTTAATTTATGTAAACATTATTTGTTAAGCTTAAGTTTAATGTTACTTAAAAAAATTGAGACATGATAATTAATATTAAAAGGCACCGCTAATGATGCAAACAAAATAGTCAAAGGCTTAGATGCTAGCTGTGACATCATTCATAGCAAAACTCTCTCTGCGTATCACACCTAGAAATTACGAGAGCGTCCCAATTTAAGTGCATGGGGTTTGAGAAGGGACCGAAATAACCTTACACTTATTCAGACGCATCACTAATGCTAATCTGCTAATGCTCACTGATGAGCTGCACGATTAGCTAGAAATGGAGGCAAAACTGTCACTCCACTGCACAGGAAGCTCATTGGATGACCCAAAGCCATTATTTAAAGTCATTGTGTTTGTGTGTGTTTGCAAATGATTGATTATTTTACTAACCTTATCCTCTTGTGACTGTAAAATGTCTTGTCCTGGCAGCCATTTTGTATGAAGGTGTCTTAACCTGAATTACTCTGGGTTAATAGGTTAATGGACTTTGCTGTATACAGGAGGACATAACTTCTGATCCTGCCTGTGAGGAAAACATGCCTCTCGCTACTGCATGTTTTCCCAAACTATGCATGTTTTCCCACCTATACGGAAATTAACACTTTTGTCCATAAAGCAATTAGGCCCCAGGCTAATTCTTAGAAGACATTCATTTTATAGCCAAACACTATACACTAATACATACACTAATATATATATATATATATATATATATATATATATATATATATATATATATATATATATATATATATATATATATATATATATATATATATATATATATATATATATATATATATATATATATATATATATATATATATATATATATATATATATATTTAGATATAGTCAATCAGATATAGTTATTGTAAAGTTAAATTTGCAGTATTTGTATTATGACTGTGTAGGATTTTGTCCAATCACAAATGTTGCATTTTAAATGAAATGCATTGCAGGTTTCTGAATAATACCCAGCAGTGTGTTTTTTACAAAGTGGAGCTCATGATATGATGTTAAAGTGTCTCAGAGCATCTTGTTTTATGTACAGTACATGTGTAAATAAACATTGCCACACGTTAATCACTTATTATTTCAGATGTGAAGTCAGATTACTGTTACTGTAAACTTTGTCTACTTTTGTGGTGGTTTGTTCTGCAGAGTAATGTTGAATTCAGACTGCTTGGTTTTAGCCCTGATTTTAGCCCTGACAGGTTTTGAGAAATTTGCAACAAATGCCTGAAATCACAGGCATATCGGTGCTTGATCACGCGAGTAACAATCACACAATGTGAACTATCAAAGACGTGATCTGAAAGAATCACGATTCAAATCATGCTGTGTGATATGTGTTCTGGATGAAAATAACATCGGTGATTGATTGCCCTCAGCCAATGAGAGAGCAGCATCTACTAGTGTGAGTATCTGCAGGCCAGCGGGGGGTTGAGGGGAAGGTAAAGTGCTAATTTTCAGTTTCGTTGGACCCAAGAAATGGAGAAAAAAACGATTAGAAATTTGGCAGGAGCACTCGTGTCGTGAGCAATAACACACAAAAAAAAGTTGAGGAGAAATTTCTAATTCTATCCTATTAAAGGCTTCTTTTTCATAATGTAGTTAATAACAAACAATATACTAAGTGTTTTTGGTTGTTAGACGTAGTTTGGACAGAGCTATTCTTTCTATTGTAAAGTCATGCAGACAGTTTGTAACCCCCTGTTGCCAATCCATCTTGCAGTGTAAATAAAGCAGCAACAAAACGCTAGCCCAGATGCAATTACTTTTTTCCAATCATGCTGTCTGAACTCAGCATGCTAGATTTACCACACATATATCATACCACACCCTTAAGACAAACATTAAACAGCATTAATTGTACTTAAAAACAGCATCTACCTCTTTCCATTAAAATTCAAATCAATCACACAAGGAACAAATGAAAGTTTGCCAATCATAGGACATGCAACTTGTCGACTTAGATGGCAAGTCAAATAGGAAATCAGCTGAAATCTGGGCACCACATGCATGCTGTTGTACTACAGTATAATTAGGATTGGGCTAATTCTTTTAAGCAAATGAAAGCAAAAAAAGGCACTTCTATATTTTTTCTGAATTCTCTGCACAACTCTGTGTGAGTTGACACCCTATTAGCAACAATTAATTATAATGATTTTAACCAAGTATATAAAGTTTCATAAATCATAAAGTTTCACAAGCCTCGTCTTCATTTTCCATTCACTGTCATCACTCCAAATTTTAAGAGACTTCTTTTATAGTAATAAGCCTTTTTTGTAGTTCCTAGAGCTATTGCCAGATTGCTAACTTTTTGGATTGAAATCAGAGATTCTTGGGTATATTTCTAATTTTAGGAACATCATTTGGGGGAACTAAGTTAGCGCCTACCTTAGAGCTAATCCAGAATGAAAGGAATTAAAGAAATGTAAGTGTACTCTAGTGCCGAGTTCAGACTGCATGTTTTTCAGAGTAGTCATGTCACGGATGTTTTCAAACTGCATGACTGTCTGGGTTAGCGTTCTGTCGATGCTTTCTTTACACTGTAGCATGAATCGGCGACAGGAGAGTTTACACAGCATGACTTTACAATAGAAATAATCACAGACAACTTTGTCCAGAATACGTCTCTCAACCAAACAAACGCGAGAAGTGACATGGAAACAACGCATGGTCACATCTTTCGGAATTAACTACATAATGGAAAAAGAAGGCTTTAGCTTTAGAAAGTTGTGTTGCTCATCTGGCTTTTGAAGATAATTTACAATCTCTTATTGTGATATTGGTCAGATGACACGTCAAACAGACACGGGTGCTCCTGCCAAATTTACAGAAGTTTTTTAGTCATTTTTTGGGTCTAAATAAACTGAAAATGAGCGATTTTAACTTCTCCACCAACCTCCCACTGGCCTGAAAGCTGCTCTTTCATTGGCTGTAGGTGATCTCTTATGTTATTTTCAATCAGAATACATTTAACACGGCATGATTTAAATCGCAGACAGCTCCAGATATAACAATATATCTGCCAAATACCTCATGGGTGTCGGCGACTCATCTGCGATTCTCTAATATCACGTCCTTGATAGTTCATTCTGTGTGATTGTCACTCACGTGAATGAGCACTGATTTGCCTGTGATTTCAGGCATTTGTCTGTGATTTCTCAAAAACTGTCGGTGAGTCAAAATCAGGTCTAAAATCATGCAGTCTGAACTCGGCATAATTGGGTGAAACATAAAAACAGTGGCACTGTGGCTGAGTATTTTTGGGCGTTACAATATATCCCTGTAGAATTTTAATTTATTGAATGGGATCGCTCCTTGACAAGAACCAACACATTTTTGAGAGGGTGTCCAATAGATTGTGCCTAGATCAAAACCGAGAACTAAACAAGACAAACAATAAAGCAGTGTACAGAAAGCTAATGTTAGTGGCATTTACCTTTGGCCTTTGTCTGTGGTGTTGTGTTTTCTTAGCACTGATTATGTTTCCCACAGTAAATTGCCATGGGGGGATTTTAGTCCTGCTTTTTGATTTTAAATTGCCTTTTTAAATGTCCCCTGATCTCAATCACCACAAAACCCACAAATGAAAACACTGTCTGAATCATGTTGTCAGACATCGTCCATTTGTTAATTTTGTTGAAATCAGTGTTTGATATCTTTGTCGGCTGGCTTGCTTCACTTCAGAGTTCCTAATAACGGCATGAATGGAACCAGAAAATAGACTCCTGGCTAGCTTTAACTAAGTTCCAGTAACTACATGAAAGCCCCTTATAACTAATGGGTTACGGGTTATGCTTAAGTACACGTGTGGTGTAACTCACTGATGCTATTGTTTTGTTGATGTATAATTATGGGTTTCAGATTTTTAAAAATAGCATATTTGCTTTGTATAGTAATTTGGTGCAATGATTAGCCTAACTCAGTGTTTCTCAGTTCCGGTCCTTGGGCCGCCCTGCACATTTTGTATGTCTTTCTTACTTACCATATCTGATTCATCTGCTTGTTAACAAAGAAAATAATAATCAAAGTCAGTGGCTACTGGATTACAACATCCTTCTAAATATCTTTTTGGGAATAGGCAGAGAACTAAGTAAATGATGAGCGATCCATCATAAGTTTGTGGCTGAAATATCCCATTTTAAGTTTTCTTGACATTTGGTTGCATGCTCTCATATTTGTAGAGTGTATATGTTGTCCTACTGTGTGAAAAGATAAAACACTGTGCAGTTGTAAAGCAGAATGTAATAAAGTCATATTAAGCACCAATAAAACGCATGTCTTTCTCCTGATTTTTCTTTCAGAAAGAGGAGGTGGTTGTTGGTGTGAGGGGAGAGAGAGTGTGTGTGTGTGTGTGTGTGTGTGTGAGTGTGTGTGCGCGTGTGTGTGAGTAATGGCGGAGCAGCAAAGGCAGCGAGCGCTCTCCACGTCAGGAGAATCGCTATATGTGGTGCTGGGGGTCGAGAAGAACACTGCACAAGAAGACATAAAGAAATCCTACAGGTGAGACAATACAGATGAACACTTAGACAGCGGAGAAAACCCTTTCATGTATTCATTCTATCTTTTATTTTTTTGTTTATATGTATATTTTTAGATTCTTATATTCTAATAATTAAGTTTATATTGGTTCTTATATTTCTTTTATATTTAATGTATTATGATTTTTATATATTATTCATTCATTTTCTTTTCGGCTTACTCCCTTTATTAATCTGGGGTCGCCACAGCGGAATGAACTGCCAATTTATTCAGCACATTTTTACGCAGCGGATGCCCTTCCAGCCACAACCCACCTCTGGGATACATCCACACACACTTATTCACACTCATACACTATGGACAATTTAGCCTGCCCAATTCACCTATACCGCATATCTTTGTACTGTGGGGTAAACTGGAGCACTCGGTGGAAACCCCTGCAGGGAGAACATGCAAACTCCACACAGAAACGGCAACTAAGATGAGCCGATGTTCGAACCAGCGACGTTCTTGCTGTGAGGCGATGTCACTACATACTGTGCCACTCCGTCGCCTTATATATTATTATTATTATTAAATTTTTCATAATACATTAAAGGGGAGGTCCATTACGATATCATATTTTAAATTTTAGTTGATGTTTAGTGTAGCAACATCTCTAAATGTAATACACTCAAACACACCACCTCTCTTGCTTTCACTTATCATTCTAACGGAGAGAGCGATTCATTTGTGTATAAATCTGTTATTTACTTCGCCAACAATGATACAAATTTCTGGTAGCGCAGCGTCTTGTCATATTTCATAACATTGTTTGCTTATTTTATTTTATAAAACTAGCATAAGTCTAGAATTTTGTGTGAGTTGGTGCTACTTTGCCTTATGGTGAATGCAGTAAGTGACTGTATCATCATCAATAATGTTACTTGTTGAGCGCAAAAGTTCATAACATACAAAAATGTAAAAAACAAAATCTTATCTATGAAATGTTCTGCCTTTCTGCTTTGTTTTCTTTGTTTGCTTGTTATTACACTGGTACACAGCGCTAAAGTCCAGCATCTTCACATTGGCACACTGTCTTGACCTGTGTGGTTGAAATGGGAGCACTGTATAAATGTGGCGCCGCTTTTGTTGCATGTTCAGGGTCCGTATATGATATTTAGTGTATATATCTATTCAAGTGAAGCTTGAGCACACATTGCTTTATGAACACATCCAAACCTTAAAAATACACTCTGGACCACCCCGTTAAACATGAAAAATATTTAAAAATAAATGTAAAAGTGTACATGTAAAATATATGTATTCTTTAGTAATTTTAGTTTTTCATTCATTTTTTTCTGCATTCCTTCTTTCTTTATTCATGTTCTTCAGGCATTTATGACTTTCATTTCGTTCTTTTATGTTAACTTCCCATTTTAAGCAAAACTCAGTTTCTGGCTAATTCCACAAGAGGGCGACAGACCACCTGATAGACCTTACCTTATTTGCAATGGATATTCAGTATAACATTCTACTATACAAACTATAATACTGCCGTTATGTTTAGTATAAAATATGTATGTTTTTGTGCATGAATATTCAAAAGACCAGCTACATTTGCTAAGATGTTTATTTTAAATGATATTACTTGGCAAAGTTTAGATCTCACTTCTTCATTTTGTGCTTGCAGAAAACTTGCTCTGAAATTCCACCCGGACAAGAATCCCAACAATCCAGAAGCTGCTGATAAATTTAAAGAAATCAACAACGCTCATGCTATTCTGTCAGACCCCACCAAACGCAATATTTATGACAAATACGGCTCTCTGGGCCTCTACGTGGCAGAACAATTCGGAGAGGAGAATGTTAACACATACTTTGTATTGTCCAGCTGGTGGGCCAAGGTTTGTCCTACACACCAACACACACATGCATTATAGCATAAAGTCAGGTAGACTAAGTATATAAGTAGTGCATTGCATGGATTACATGACATGACATGCAACTTGACATGCACTGTTATTCAGTAATACAATATGAATGTATGGTTTGTTATTGTGTGCAATTTATTGTACCATGAATATTCAGTTAAAAGCTAAATTATTAGCCCTCATTATTATTATTACTATTATTATTATTATTAACCGAGTAAGGATATTTTCACAATATTTGCTATTCTTTTTTTCCATTGAAAGTATTTAAGTTTGACTACAATAAAATCAGTTTTTAAATAGTTTATTTTTTATTATAATATAAAATATTCTATTATTCATTTTCTTAATTATAAACCTTTATGTTTAATATTAATGTAATAATATTATGAGCCATTTAAAAAACATTTTTGATTCCTGATATATTGATTAAAAATATTTGTAGTTGTTGTTGCTAACATTTTTATGAGCTAGTATGTGAACTACAAGCTTTTTTATATAGTTGATTTTTATCTTTTTTCCCCTCTCAGGCGCTGTTTATATTCTGCGGTGTGGCCACGGGCTGTTATTTCTGCTGCTGTCTGTGCTGCTGTTGTAATTGCTGCTGTGGGAAGTGTAAACCTCATCCTCCTCACTCAGATGATCCTGATTTCTACGTGTCTCCTGAAGACTTGGAAGCTCAGATGCAGTCTGATGAGAGAGGTTTGGCTTTTTTCTGTATAGTACAATTTAGTCCATCCATCCATTCATCATGAATAATATTGATGTGTGTGTGTACATACACACACAAACAACATACAACTACACACCAACTACAGTCCAATTCATCAGACAACACTATAGCCCCTTTCACACAGTGATACCGGTAAATTTCTGGAAAATTTCCGGAACGACTTTACCGGTATATTCAAAAAAGCGCTGTTCACACAGGCGAGGACGTTATGGAAATTTTCCGGAAAAGAGCATTCACACATCCATTCCAAAATACCGGTAAATTCTGACATCATTCACCACAAATGAGCTTTAAACGGCTGCGCTTGTATTTGTAAACATTTGACTAAATTACAAACTCTGTGGATGATCAGTATTGTGAACAACTTTCGCAGGATCACTTTCGCATGTCGAGATGTTCATAATATGTGCGTGTGCGGCGCTCATAGGCGCACGCAAAGCTTGAAGGTAAACAAACAACGGCTTATCATAAGCATCTCATCGATGATTATTTACACAGTTGGCATTAGGAAGAACATATAAACATGATCTGACTAACTTCTAGCAGCTAAATGTGTCTGGAAAAATATTCAAAGGCTTTTATCCTCACAAACCGCGCGGACGTAAATGCGTCTGACTGTTGTGATTGGCTAAAGCAGACGTCTCACGTCAGCACATTCTAGACGTGGACGCGCTTATTACGGGAATCTTACTTCTGCATTCACACAGCGCAGCATTCCGGCAAATTGCCGGTAATGTTACAACTTCTCTTTCCGGAAAATAGCCAGAACGAATTTACCGGTATTTTCAAAAAGGACCTGTTCACACATACAACCTTTCCGGAAAATTGCCGGCAATTTTCCAGAAAGGTCTGTATGTGTAAAAGGGGCTAATAGCCCCTTTCACACAGTGATACCGGTAAATATCCGGAAAATTTCCAGAACGACTTTACCGGTATATTGAAAAAAGCGCTGTTCACACAGGCGAGGACGTTACGGAAATTTTCCGGAAAAGAGCATTCACACATCCATTCCAAAATACCGGTAAATTCTGACATCATTCACCACAAATGAGCTTTAAACGGCTGCGCTTGTATTTGTAAACATTTGACTAAATTACAAACTCTTTTGATGATCAATATTGTAAACAACTTTCACTGGATCATATTCGCATGTCGAGATGTTCATAATATGTGCGTGTGCTGACGCTCACAGGCTGTTTCATGGGCACACGCAAAGCTTGAAGGTAAACAAACAACGGCTTATCATAAGCATCTCATCGATGATTATTTGCACAGTTGGCATTAAGAAGAACATATAAACGTGATCTGACTAACTTCTAGCAGCTAAATGTGTCTGGAAAAATATTCAAAGGCTTTTATTCTCACAAACCGCGCGGACGTAAATGCGTCTGACTGTTGTGATTGGCTAAAGCAGAAGTCTTACGTCAGCACGTTCTAGACGTGCACGAGCTTATTCCGGAAATCTTCCTTCTGCGTTCACACAGCGCAGCATTCCGGCAAATTGCCGGTAATGTTACAACTTCTCTTTCCGGAAAATAGCCAGAACGAATTTACCGGTATTTTCAAAAAGGACCTGTTCACACATACAACCTTTCCGGAAAATTGCCGGTAATTTTCCGGAAAGGTCTGTATGTGTGAAAGGGGCTAATATCAGGCATATACAATTAGATTTTAAATAAGTACATGAATGCTAATAAAATACCTCATACATAAAATAGATCAAGCAATGATTTTTTATACATATAGCAGTGATCAGCGTATATGAGTACACCCCTCGCAGATTGCCCTTTTAACTATTTTCTTTAGGATGCTTTACAGTAATATATGTGTACTGTTACGATTCAATAAGTTGCCTAGGGAGAAAAAAACGAAACATTTAGGATATTATATTATTACTGAAGAAAATGGGTGGAAATAAACAAGGACACATAATCTTAACACTTAATAATTTTCCTTATAAAGAAATAAACAAAGTAAGCCAACAAAAGAGAGGCATGTATGAGCTTTGTACAGTGCATTTCAAAATAAATAGAAGCCATCACAGAAATATTATCAAACCTAAAATTACAGGGGGTAAAGAGGAACTAGAGTGGTGCCAAAGCAAAGAACTAAACAAAACCAAAAGCCACATAAACTAGAACACAAGATCCCCTCTAAACTTACTAAAGAAATTAAAAAGCGAAAAAGAAAGGGAAATCTTCAGCGTATGCGACGTCAATAAAGTAAACTCTCTAAAATAATAAACAAAAATACAAAAAACAGCGCTCACCCACTTACCTAGTGTTTCTGAACAACTCCAATAACTACAGGCAAAATGTATGTCTTGCGACTTGTTAACATTTATTATTCCCAAAAAAGGAATGATAAACTTTTAAACCATATTGATTTACAGTTGCTTAGATAAGTTTAGAGACACAGAACAAATCATAATACAGAAACGAGCATACAAAACTCAAACCCACACAGCACTGAACAAACAAGGCGTGCAGGTCAAATGTAAAGTCCGTGGAACGAAGCCTGATTGGTCCACGAGGAAATGCCCTAATGAGGAGGGATGCCCTACCTGAGAAGGAAAAAATAGCGGAACAAAAGGTGATGGGGTGAGACAAAAAGTGAATGACAGACAAGGAAAGAGAGCGACAGAGAGGGAGAAAGCGACAAAACTCCAAACTCCCACGGACTGTAACAGTATACTTTAGATTAGTCTGTACCAAAGCTAAGCTAGAAACTAATCCAACAAAAATGTCCAAACGTTAATTTGGGTGTTCTAATATATTAGAGAAAATATATAATGTACAATTTTAATGAACTGGAAAAATCAAGACAAATCAAACAAAAAAATATGAAACTTAGTTGAAATTCTGTAGGTTTTTTTCTTTTGCAATAACTCATTTGATTTTGAATATGTTATTTTTCTATTCCTAAAGACGTTTAGTGACCAAACTCTTATTTTAATGAGTATAGCTGTTTAATAAAACTGTTTTGTTAAAATGTGCATATGTATTCTTGCAAACTGAATCATTTGCATATAAAGCTCTACATGGTACCGCTCCTTCCTATATCTGTGACATTGTCTCTCAGTACACACCTTTTCGTTCCCTGCGGTCTGCTGATTCTCTCACTCTTCAACAGCCACCCTGTAGATTAAAATCAATGTGGGAGAGAGCCTTCTCTGTTGCTGCAACCAGGTTATGGAATGCTCTCGCTTATTCTGTTAGAAATGCTTCCACACTAGCTAGTTTTAAGAAGATGTTAAAAGCTCATCTTTTGAAGACTGCATTTTTTGATTCTTGATCATTCTAATGTGTTTATATTTTAGAATTTTCTATGCATACTTGTTGTTGTCTTTTTTGTTTGTTTGTTTGTTTATTATTTTTTTTTTTTGCATGTTTGATTTCTCTGTTGTTGCAGCGCTTTGGGTTTTAGAAAAGTGCATTATTAGTAAAATGTATTGTTATTTATATTCTGATAAGATTATATACAAAAATAGGTTAGTCCATTCAAAAAATGTAATTCATTGCCAATAAAGAGGGAGAGCTGCTAATTTTACATTGAGAGAGTTCGACTTTTATAAAATTAAAAAAATAGTCTAAAATTGAATTGACTGTAATATTGTCTTGTAAGTTTAAAATCATTTAACAGGTAAAATCTAAAAACTAAAATCGTTTAACAATAAACATATCTTAATTTTCCTTTATTAATGTATAGCTACCTAATCGATCCAACACACATCCAATCACCAACAAATACATCTGAATATAACTTGTAGAACAGTCTTTTGTGCATGCATGCAAGTTTTTAAAGAGTTTTTTTATGTTGTTAATTAGATAATAAAGTTATGTTACAAAAAGTTTATGTATATATAAATAGGGTCTGCTTGTTTTGACTCAGTATTTAAAACGTGGCTAAGAAATAACTTTTTTTTTTTTTTTTTTTTGATAGGGCAAGTACACTTGTTTTTCCTTATGGCCCATAAAAAATCTTTAGCGTTTGACCCTATACAAATCTGAAATTTCATTCTTCATGGTCTTAAAAAGGTCTTTAATAGTATTAAATTTGACTTTGTGAAACCAGCATAAACCTTGTAAATCCACTAACATTTAAGATTTGTGCCAGGTAAGTGACAATTTTTTAAATAAATGACAAGCCTGTGATGCTTATCAATCCTGTGAGCCTGTAGCGAGTCGTCTATTACAGCAGTGTGACTTTGGCGTGTGCTTCTCCACAGACGGCAGCAGCCCTATCATGATGCAGCCGTCCTCTGCCACAGAAAGCACTCAGCTGACCGCAGACTCTCACCACACCAGCTACCGGACAGACGCCAACTATTAAACACGGGACCACCAGTACACACAAGCTCACGGTGGGCAACGAGGGATTAGTTAGTTGCAGATCTTCTGTTGTATTATTGGAAAACCTGAAACGCTCCACTGTACAGGGCCAGAAGCGAGTCTTGATATTTGTTTGCCTTTTACATCTGTTTTCCCCAAACCTACACACACACACACACACATCTACACAACACAGACAAGGACTTTCCTATAGTGTCCGTTCAGTCTTCCTGCTTTTATTCCATGATTCCGCTTTCCAGAGGCTTTTGTTTGTGCGTCTTTCGTTCATGATCACACTTCATTTGTCTGTGTGAAAATCATTTTATTGAATTTTTATGTTTTGTCATTGTTTTAAACGTAAATAGTTTGGAACAGTAGAAAACTAATCAATGTATGGTTAGATGATGGTACATCTTTACTACCATTGACGTTTGTGGTCAGTAAGTTTTTTTTAATTATTATGAATTATTGAATGATGATGTTTTTATCCAGCAAGGACTTTAAATTGATCAAAAGTAACATTAATAGCAGCATTTCTAACATAATCAAATACTTTTATTTAAAATTCTGTTCTTTTTAATGGTTAATTGAAGACCAATTGTAAGTTTTCAACATCAAAAATATTATCAAACACAAAATCAGCACATTTCCGAATTATTTCTAAATAATCTTGAGACACTGAAGACTGGAGAAATGTATGGAAGCCCATAATTCTAACCTCTTTCTTACAGTTTTGAGTTTGTGTCTCAAAGTTCTGACTTTTCTCTTGCAATTCTTGAGTTTACATTTCACAAGTAACTTATTTTACATCATAATTGCGAGTTTATAGTTTACATTTTGAAGTTTATAGTTTCACACATCAAGAGAAATCTTACCAACCTTAAGCATTTTATAAACTGAGTACATTTCTATGCATTTGATTGGCTCTCTCTGGCAAAAACCTCACAATTGCATGATAAATATTGTCTTGGATTGTTTTCTAGATTTTAAACTATGTTGGTCTTTCATTAGAAATGTTCTGCTCACTTTATTTACTAGTATCAAGAGATTTCTTAACAGTTTACAGAGTAGTGTAATATCTGAGGACAAGAAGGGAAACATAACTGTGTCTTGTTTATCTGTGACACCTTTCTTGTTACAACATCTGGTGGGAGTGTATGCCGTATTTTGCTGTGCTCAATTTTAGCGTGTGTGTGCGCTGGGTGTTGTGGTTTGAGGACACAAATTTGTGTAATGGCATTGCTATGACCTAGGTATCACCAAAGTCCCTTTAAGAAAAGTCAGTTCAGTATGCGGCCATTTTTGAAACCCCTCTCGGTTAATGTGCTTCGGTATTCTGTTTGCATGGGGATACATCAAATTCTCCAAAATTGCCGGCCAAGCTTACGATTACATATTAGTAATCACTAATTTGTGCATTGACATTAGCATGACCTAGGTATTACCAAAGTCCCTTTAAGGCAAGTCATTTCACTCTGCTGCCATCTTTGAACCTCCTCTCGATTAGTATGCTTGGCGTTCTGTTTGAACGGGGAAACATCAATTTCTCCAAAATTGCTTGCCAAGCTTTCAATTACATATTAGGAATTGCTCATTTGTGTTCTGACATTGATATGACCTAGGTATTACCAAAGTCCCTTTAAGGCAAGTCATTTTAGTATGTGGCCATCTTTAATACCCATCTCGGTTAATATGCTTGGGCATTCTGTTTGAATAGGAATCATCAAATTCTCTAAAATTGTTTGCCAAGCTTATGATTACATATTAGGTATCACTAATAAAATGAACCAACTGTCTTTTTACTTTAATTTCTAAACATTTGAATCATGGAAAATCTGCACAAACTCACGTCTGATCTGAGCCTCTCCAATGGAGAATCGTCAGTCTATAGCGACTGATGATTGGCTCCTGTAGAAGAAGGCGGGGCTTCATTGGCTATATTAACCGTTTCACTTTTCCGCATTCAAAACTATGAGTGACTTGTCTTGTGTATCTTATAGTGTTTGGTATTACAATGTTGAGGTGGTTTGAGTACATCTCTTGTGTCCTCGTGCTTCAAAATGCTTCAAATCATACTTAATAAGGTCTTTTGACATTTCAAAATTTCTCATGTTTTTTTGTGAGGATTGGGCTTGGGGTAAAGCCAAAATAAGTAGTCTTTTATGTGTACGTCGATGTAGAGTCCTCATTAACCACAAAAACCAACATGTGTATGTTATTGTAAGAGAGTGATATCGCTAGAACAGTGATTGGGCTTGTTGGATACACACTAAGGCTGAGTAAGGTTATTTATTCTTGAACTTGCGGTTTTTTTTTTGTCCATCTGTACTTGCGTCTTCTTAAGGCTTCGCTAGGTTGAAGAGTTGTGTTAGAATTAGTGTTTGCATTCCTCATGTTTGTGGTTTTGGATGCGGTAGTCACATGTGAAATGAGCACAGGAGGATTGTGGGTGAACTCATAGTTGCTAGCAAGGGTCATTGGAAAATATGCACTCACCAGAATTTTTGCCCCCTCTCCAAGCGCTAGATTTAATAAACGGCGCTCATAGATTCCACATTTCCAAAAATACCTCACATTTACCTCAAGTTATTTGATTAATAAACTTGATTCTTTTTAGTCTGATTAGTTTTTTTCTTCCCTGTGTTTCTAGACTGTTGCCTAATGATTTCTCGGTTTGCTGTTATATTTTGTTTTACCTGTAATTGTACCCATAATTTGATCTCACTCCCTAGTGCCACGAGTTAATAAAATCATGTCGACATAATATTTTACTCTAGGGGATGCACATTGGCAGTATTATTACTGTTACTATGCTTGGAAATATAACTCTGGTCCTCAGACTACAATGATTCTGGCTCATTGGTTTTGATCAGATACAAAATTTAGCGTCAAGGCTAGTTTAAAATGGTGTTTTACCTGCCATAGAAATTAATAAAAAGGTAACACTTTACAGTAAGGTTTCATTAGATAATGTTAATGTATTTACTAAAATAAACAAAATAATAAAGATTTATTACTGTATTTGATCCTCTTTGTTAGTTGAAAATAGTCATTCATTGTTTGTCATCATAACCTCCTAGTGCATTAAATACAATGAATAAATGCTGTACAAGTATTGTTCATTCTTATTACATACATTTTTACATTTACACACATTTTTTTTGCCCGAATCAGAATTTTATTATTTTATTTTATTTTTAATTTTTTAAAATTATTTATTTAATGAAAATAAACGATAAGTTATTAACATAAATTCAGAAATATATAGTTATGGCAAAACTCAAAAATAAACATTTGCATATTTTTTCCAGTATCGTGCAGCCCTAATGGTAAATCAATCTCCTTTATAATAAAACCCACAATATAAAACTAAAACAAATCTTATTGTTTCCTCCTCCTTTTCCTTTTCTTTCATCCCTCTGAGTACATGAGTTTTATTTTTGATATATGTGGGCATAAGCATACAGACTTCAAAGTAGAAATGTTTCAATTCTGTTTTAGGCTGTGTGTGTGGTTGAAATCGAGCTCTGAAATGAATCACTGTACCACCATTATTGTTCTTTTTTTTTTAAAGACATTTCTTGAAACTGGATTTCAGCTGTGTGTCTGCCTGTGTTTGGGCATGCGTCTCTCCATACATTCATTTTCATGCCTCTCAAATGGGCCATGCAGAAAACGTGTGTAATTTACCCCCAAATGTATACATTTTCGAATAGGTTCACATTGTGGATATTTTAGAGATGTGTAGATAATTGTTTTGTTTGTTTTGTTTTTTTATTTATGTCTGAAGCATTAGGCCGATTATTATTAGTGATCATGTTTCTAATCGTTCACAGTGTGTAATGCTTTTTATTGGATAAATTTAATTTCTCAACACGAGCTCTGCTGTAACGTAGCTACTGACCTACTTTTGGTTTGAATTATCCTGTTTATCCTTTATTTGTTGTGTTCATTTATCATTAATAATCAGACACTGAATCTTAAGAATGAACAGAGCATCTTCTGAATTTAACATGTAAACAGAATCATGTTATTAATGAAGGATATAGTGTAAACATGGTGATGAGAAACAATATTTTATTTATTATTTTCCAATGTTTTTAAAAAATGACGTAGTCGGATGTAAGCGAATATATGACCGTTGTACAGAATGGCTGATTTCTTGTTTGCGTTCTGGATCAATCAGCTGAAAGTGTTGTAGCATGAATATAAAGTACTGTGTCAGAGAGATGTAATGTGGATTAATGATCGGAATTACAGCTGTTAAATAAATGTGCAGGAAGCTGAAAAAGTATCTGCTGTTTGTGTGGATTTGTGCGAAGGCGTGCGATGAAGGAGTGCAAAATATTGCTTGGGATATAACAATCTTAAAGTACAAATTAAATCAAAGTAAACCATGTGATTTTGTTAGCTCACATCTCCAGTTTTGTGGTGAATAATTAATCTGTGCATGTCATTAAAAAATGTTTTGCTTTTGTAATCTAAAATTAAAATCTGAAAATACACTTTTTTTTCAGTTAAATTCTCAGATTTTGAGGGATTGGGTGTGGCTAACATACTTAACCACACCCCTCCAACTGTCAGTTTGAAAACAAACAGAAATGGTGAGCAAGAGGAGTCTGTTATATTGTAATAACTCTCCCCAGACCTTTTTCCCGATCTTTTAGAATAAAATGCCAAATTGGCTACATCCAATCAGCTCTCAGTTCAAGCCACGCCAACTGTTTTCTCATTTAATATTTAGTTTCTCTCTGAGCTGTGTCACAATATGAAAAAAAGGTTCTTCTGGTTCATGTGCACTTTGTTAAAATTTGGAGTAACTGGTCAAAAACATGGGAAACGTACTATGTATTAAAAGTTAAAGCTAATCAAGGGGCAAATAAGATTATTGTGTAAAGTACATGTTTCTGACAGTGTTCTATCTGGACCCCACTGACTTTACTTAAATTGATGCAAACATTTTTTTCAAACATCATCTTTTAGGTCTTAAAATAATAGCTGACCAAAAACATATTATTATATATAATGTTCTAAACCTGTATGACTTTTCAATTTAAGTAGTTTTAACTAATTAAGAATTAGCATTGTTTGTCACTTAAAATTGAGAATTTGCTGTTAATTTACTTGCCCTCTGGTCATACAAAATTTTGGTGACCTTTTTCCTTAATCAGCAGAGCCGTAATGAAGATTTTCCAAAGTTAGTTCTTGGTTAAAATTGTGTAAAATTTGGAATAACTGGCCAAATATATATGGTAAGTTCAATTTATTAAAGATTAAAGTTAAACAAAAGACAAATAAGATTATTGTTTAAAGAATGTTTCTGATAGTGTTGTTGTTTTTGGACCCCACTGACTTTCATTGTATGGGTGCAAATAGTTATTTAAAAAAATCACCTTTTAGGTCTTAAAATGTAAAGTTATGCAGGTTTGGAACAATATAAATAATAATGTGTTTTTGGTGAGCTATTACTTTAGGTGTATTTTAATTCTCTAAGTTTTTTTTTTTGTTGTTGTTGTTGTTTTTTGGCATTGTATTTATGCTCAATTGAGAATTTGCTGTTCATTTGCTCACCCTCCGGAAATATGAAATTTTGGTGACCTTTTTTTCCTTGTTTAGCAGAGCCGTAATGAAGATTTGTAGCCAAAAACCAGTCCTTGGTGAATCATAAACTGCAGTACAAAAAACATGCATGCTTAACAATACATGTGGCTCTTAATGATATGCTGAAGTTATATTAGACAAAAAATATCACATATTAAAATTTACACAAAACATTGACATGATGCTTTCAGATAAGACTCCTTTAAAAATATTTAGAGATGGAACTGTTTCTAACATAACACACTGCATTTCATTTTAAAATGTAGGGCTAAAAGAGGAAAGCACTTTTTTATACTAAACTCCCTACATTCTATAGGAACTGTTAAATGTAATTTTTTGAAATTTTGTGTACTATAGCTACAAGTATAATATGATAAAAGGTTATATAAGATAGCAATTTACCCAATCATGCCCTAGCAGTGAATAGAAGCATATGCATTTTTTTTTCCTTTGGTGCAGGGAAAACCAAACAAACAACCATTTTCTACAGAGAACAATGATGGATACATGAAGATGCATTCGTCACTAATTGAATTGCAGCATGATATATAATGTCCAGTTTATTTTAATAACAACCGGTTTGCATGCATATAAACTATATCTCCATAATCTATCACTGTAAGGAATCATCTTTGCTTGAAAGGAAGGCACTTCTTAAAACAAAAAAGAAAACCCAATTTAGGTCTAAGCTTCTTTAGGAGATTTTTAATATGAATATTAAAACCCAATCTTTCATCAAGCTATATGCCCAAATATTTATAATCGTTTAGTCTTTCAATACAGTCCCCCTCCAGGGTTAAGATTGGTGAAACCTTCATTTTTGTACGACTGTGGTTAAAAACCATATATATATATATATATATATATATATTTTTGCATTAAAAACCAACTTCAATTTGAGCAGTGAAAGTTGCAGGAGTCTTGTAACATCTGTATGGCTTGATTCATAGATCGTACAAATGTATAAATAACAGCGTCGGTGACCAAAGCTTAGCGTTTTTGCTTTGCAAGCTTAGGGATTAGTCAGTGTTGATCCATCTGAAAGCATAAACATTTTTTTCTTTCAATTTTAAATGCAAGCATAAAATTTTACTTTACAATGATTATTTTGCTAGCATACGTTGTTAGTCATGAGGTAAACAATTAACCAAATTTATTTTGTTAATTTTAATCAAAATCTGAGCATTTGCTTCCACTCTGGAATGTTAGACCTCCTCTGATGTTGTCAGTTTGATATGCTTGGCCACGCCCCTCCAACCATTGTTTTGCCATAAATTAAAGAAATAAAGCCCCACCCCTACTCATTATTCAGTTTCCGTTGGAAATACATCATATTGAAATAAGAGTATTCAGAAACTTCTTTTTTTTCTGGTGGACTTCTACTAAAAAATCATCTAAGTGACCACTTATACACACTTGTGTTTTATTTAAAAGACTCATGCACACTTCAAGTCTTTCCTCCAATCCTGTTCTGGTATTATTGACTTTGTTGGCCGCTTTCGAGACTGAAGACATGAATGATTGGGAGTAACAGGAGACAGGCCATCATCTCTGTTTCCCAGCATTCCTCTGGTTGCCCAATTTGGGCACAACTGATGAGGGGTGGGGGGGTGTCCCAGCGAGCCAGAAAGAAACTGGACTCCTTCCCCCTTTAGCACATGCGCACATTTCCAGCTGCGCACTAATACAGACCCCCGGAGCGACAGCCCGCTTGCTGCCTTCACAGACTGGAGATCTACAAAGAAGCAGCAGAAACATGAAGGCAGTGGGGTTTCGTGATTGTAATCTACTATTTTAGTTTTCCAGTGAATGTGGGGTCAGCAGGGGCAGCATGTCTCTTCCACTGGATATACGCTCTTACCAGAAAGACCCCTCCTTGGGGACGCTGGAGAAACAGCTCATCTGTCCCATCTGCATGGACGTCTTTACCAAACCTGTGGTCATTCTGCCCTGCCTGCACAACCTCTGCCGCAAGTGTGCCAATGAGCTCTACCAGGTGTGTACCACTGATCCGGTCAGAGGAGGATGATTTGTGTGTGAATGTGCAAATATTTTGACTTAACCAATGGAAACATGTTTGCAAGTGCTTTTTTCAAGCCTTTAGTAATTCTCAACATGCCATCTGTGTATTTGTTACTCTCCCAGAAATAAGTGAAGTTTTTCAAACTAATTTCGAGAGGAGCACGTGATATAATTGACTGCAGCTGGCCGCCTATCTACACTCATTAGTTAGCCAATCAGATCTATCCTAACTCACTATAAGTAGCCTTGCTAGATATTACTCCCTTATCTTCGTTTTCCGAAGAAACCCCCCATCCACCCCCTTTCTCCTCCTTTCCTCGTTTACAAAAAGGGAAGTTCTCGAGAACCACCTGATCTCGTACTCCCCTCACATGCTCTATGAAACTGGCGGGAGCCCTGGGCTCAACTATCTCCGAGCTCAGGGTTCTCCCCCGGGACAGCATGCCAAACCTGCATACAGTTGTCAAGCAATATCTAAGTGTGAACTCTTGAAACATTCTTTATTGAAAGAACCTGCAAACTGTCCATTGCACAACAGGTTCGTTTAAAAGGGAACACATAATGCAGATTATTAAAATGCTTTTCACTAAAGTCTAATTGAATGCAGATAAGCACATGCCGTTCCAAGTGTTTGCATTTGATTGCATACAAACACAGGAACCTGACATGAACTCTTCACTTCACTCTTCACTCTTCACCAAATCTTATGCTCTGTTAAGTTTTCTTTCAAACTGTTTTTAAAATGTTGCGTAGATATCCACACTGAAAAATTCATTTATAAATTAAACGTTTATTTTAAAGTAAGTGGTTGCAAACTATTTATATGGGCTGACTTTAAACAAGCGAATGAAGTTGAACATTACTAAATTTAAATTGTTTGTTTAAATTCAGCCCATTTAAATTGTTTGCAAACACTTACCTTAAAAAATTATTAATTAAATTAATGAATTTTTCAGTCAGTTTCTGATGGACGTCTCAGTCAAAATCAGAGAAAACATTAATGCTGTTTAAGTTGAGGGCAAATGCTTTAGCAGAAAAAGAAAATTATTTACAAATTAGTAGTTTCTTCACTGTTAAAAAAATAAAGTTGACTCAACTTAAAATTGAGCCAGCTTCAGGACATTTTTGAGTTGACTCAACTTTCAAGTACTGCACTCGATTAAAGTTAAAAATGTCCTGAAACTAGTTGCCTTAATTTAAGTTGTCAGCTTTTTTTTTTTTACATTCTTGAAGCCAAGGTAGTGAGATTTACTCGCATAACTCTTCCAAGCATGACCTTCAATACAGTCACTCTTAACGCCCTATTTACACTGTTGTGTCAGCATCTACGCTTCCCATTCACTTTGAATAGGTGACATCAGGTGTTGCCGAACTGCATTGTGGATCTGTCGGCGCCCCTTCAGTGGCATTGCTTGTTGCAGAAGTTGAGAACTTCTCAGCTTTTCAAGCGCCAACAGACACGTCAGCCAATGAGACCGTTTTATGCAAATCCACCGGCTCAGACAGTAGTCAATTGCGGATTAATTTTGGCTGACGCTGCTATCCGCTTGTTAAGTGGTGACGTGTTGGTGACGTATGTAATACTGTTTCCAGGTCCAACCCATCATTCGAGTTGAGAAATCATTCGTTTATGATCACTTTTCATTCATATCACACATTAAAGTTAATTTTACATAAAGTCATAGTGCACACAGCAATCTCTGGGCTTGCTGCATCACAAAAAACAAAATTTTAACAATTTATTAAAAAATGAATCACTTTCTGGCCATTGGATATTAGGCATGGACATATATATTGCGATCGTGACTTTTCAAAAGTATTAAATCGCTTTGTAAACTTTATTATTAACATTTCATGAGTCTCCCCATTCAGTTGAATAGAGCGCTTGGACAAGGAAGCTGCTCCGCGTGATGTCACACTTAACAAGCGGATGTCGATCACGTCAGCCCCAACTTTAAACACTCCCTCTGTCAAGCATTGATGCTGAAGCCCCATGTAAATCGAGCGTAAACCTCACTTCCATCCAGGTCACGGCACCATTGTGACTCTTACATTGTGCCCTAACAATGTGACACGACATTGCATTACAGGATCTTCTCCAACCATCTTCTCTGTGTTTAAAGGAGTTTTTGTAATAACCATGCACTAGCAATGGTGATGCATGAAGTTTCTATTTTAGAAAGTTTCAATTTCTGTGATGTTGCTGTCGAGAGCATTAACGACTATGACAATGATCACCTCAGATGCTGATTGTGTGCTTTATACTGTCTATAAAGATAGTTTACACAAGATGTAAAAACAATAAAAACTAGAAACACTTCCTTTTCACATCATGCATGTCAACCCTCCCATTTTTTGAGATTCTCTCTAACTTTTCCACTCTTTCACGCTATCGTCCTATCATTAAGAATTTTCTCATATTATTCCCATATTTTTAATCTTGAAAACACGTTGAAATTAATATTAAAATGTCTGCATTTACTTTCTATTCATCAAAGCTGTTCGTCGATCCTCGCTGTCATACAGAAGCTGATCTATGATTAGTTTATCCTACGGAGCGTCCGTCAGTCATCGCTTATGCTTCATGCGTTCGCTGATTCAGAGGCTCCAAATGAAGGGTGATTATCGACACACAGCTTTAATGGAAAAAAAGAGAATGCAGACATTTTTATATTCATTTCAATGTGCTTTCAATATTATAAATATGGGAAAATACGAGGAAAATCCCGGCAAAAATGGGGGTGAATTAAGTAAACAGTAAGTGTTTATAGAACAACAGTTTTGCGAGGGAACGCAAAAACGTAAAATATATATAATTTCGTATCACTCATTTTTTTTTTTTTTTTATCCATTTTATTTTTTCCCACCCATTTTTTCCCCCACCATCACATCCTCTCCGGGTCTCCATAGCTTCTTGATTTAAGAATGTTTAGATATTTGGACTAGATACAAGACAATAAAATCTAAGTAAAGAAAGGCGTTTTTTCCAGTGTAGGTTAAATATTTATTTATTCGATTATAAACCTGTCCATTTCACTTTATTGTCATCATTGGGCACATTTTTCTTGGACACTAGTCCCGCATTTGCACACAAGAACAAACAAACAACAATATTTATTTTAAAGACTGTTATTTAAATGTATTTAAACAGTTGTTTTATTTTGACAGTTATTTAGACGGTTACTGAAATGTTTCTGTTGGGCACACTTGGTGTGGACAGCTAAGTTACTTGTTGCTAAATTCTTGTCGAGTCATGTGTTGTTGGGATGGTGTTATGGTACTCACACCAATTCGAGCATGATTTGAATCTGCATCTCTAAAATGGTACAAGACTGTTTTCTCACACACCGTCTATATTAACTGGCTTCCAATGCATGTGCTGCATGCATATCATATATATGGTTATAAAATTAGTCTGCCTTCATTTCAGTGCTTTTTAAAAACGCTATATGGTACGTGGCAGTCAGTGCAGTAGCATTCAATGTCATATCAACATTTACCCAACAAAACAGGTAAACCATTATGCAGAAGAAAACGTATAAATGTTATAAGGAGCTAATGTCCTTTATAAATTTGTTTTTTTATGTGCTAAAGGCTATTTGCTAGCTACTTCAACAACATGTAAAAGTGTATGTACATAAGGTATATAACACATAATACATGGAGCAACTCCAGTAGTGCCATAGTTCACACAAACACAGTTTTTTAGACCTGTCATGCTAATATGTGGAAACCCAACAGGTGGGGTTTGCAAATGTCTAAACTCAATCCCTAGGCTGAAATCTGAGGTATAAAAATAGGTGATGGCCTACATTTGATGCGTTGAAGTCATCAGGGGTTTAGCTCTCCTGCAACACACAATGGACACATTGATGAGAGTTTTTTGTAATGTTAGCTCTTGTCTGTTTAATCCTTCTTATCTGCACATAACTGAAGTTTGATACCTTGACAGTTTTACGTTACACCTTCTCACAGGCAAAGGTCAAAAGCCAAGCTGTTCATCTGTCGTCTGGCTGTTGTAGGACAGAAAAACGATGCTGTCTCTGCATGTACCTCTTCTTTTTTGCATGCTTATCGAATAGTTTTCAGATGCTATCAAGTCACAGTTATCAGATAATTATATACGCCATCACACATGCACTTTGGTTAAAGACCTGGGTTTCAGTAAGGAGGTTCAACCAACTCGCAGTTTAAACTTGAACTCTGAGTTGACTTACAGAGAGATTAAAATCTCAAAGTTTTCGGTTTCAGAACAGCTGATCTGAGTTAGGTCAATCAAGTCTGAGTAGACTTATTAAGCTGTGGTCACACTAGAGTTTGACCTTGCGAAATTCTGTAGTATGGCGTTGCGAAAAGGGGCAGGATTAAACATGATGATTAGACATTTTAAAAAGCGAGCGATTGGTCCATGCCTTAATTTTCTGTTCAGAGGCCATGTCTTGATCCTCGATTGGTCTCACACAACAATCATGTGATGCAATTTCACAGGTCAGAGTTCACCAAGCTTGAACTTTCTAACACACCGAACAGCGCAACTTGTCGCATGAGCTTACGTTTCCAGTCTGATGCATTCACCTGCGTCTGAAGGGAAGTCTATGGGGAAAAAGGTGCGGTTTGACCGCAGCTTTAAGCGTGCACACCGAAACTATAAAAAGGCATTATCAATGGAGAGCAGATATTACGAATCACCATGGCAACATCTGAAAAAAGAGATCAGCATTTTTTTCTTCAGCGGAACTTGTGCTCGTGCAAAGTTAAAGCAAATATGACCATATGTTTAAAAAAAATAAAAGCAACACAACTGCATCAGTGAACCAGAGACAGAATGAGAAAACATAGCTGCTCAAGTTAATGTGTAAATTTACATTTAAAATATTTTAAGTATTTAAATATTTAGGTATAATAAAATAAGTAATGTAATGTGTAACAATTATAGGCTTTTAATTTGCAAAAGTGGGCAATTGGCCGTAATTTTTGAAGTTATTTCTGATGCAATTGCATTAAATTACATTAAACAGGCTACTGCATAGTTAGCAAGAATGCATAAAACCTAACCCTAATGTTCAGTGGAAATGTTTAATTTAAGGTTCCCACTATTACTCATGTTGATCAGTTAAGATTACATTTCAAAAATTAAGTTTTTAAAAGATTTAAAAGTGCCATTGTGTGTCTGCTTTTCTAATTGATCAAGTGGTACACTCTCTGAAAAAAGGTACACGGTGGTACAAATAATGTTCCTCAAGAAACAGTTTTGTACCTTTCTAAGGGTTGTTCCTTACATAGGACAGAAAATACCTCTTATGATACTGTTCTGTACCTTTTATAGTACAATTGAAATGAAGGTACACAATAGTTCTCATAAAAAGGTATATAAGTGGTGGACAACTCCTTTATCACAATATCTATGAAAATATATATTAGTGGAAAAGCAAAGTGATTTATGAATAATTTCCTGATTAAACCATGAATCATCATTTAAAAGCTTATGCTTAAAGAAACTCAGAAACATTAAGTTCTATGATACGAAACAACTGGTAAAACAAAACTATAGATATTGTAATGTAAACATTTAAGGCATTCTAATAAACCTTTGGTCTGCATTTTCTAATAAAAAAAAGATTTATTATTGATATTCGCACCTTTTGGAGTTTGTTTTTTACTCACATGAACAAAAGACCCGCATATACAAAGTGTTCATGCAGACATTTTAGTATTGTAAAACTAATCATTAAACTAAACATTGTGCATATCTCGTTTAAATACTTGTGCAAAATTCCATTTCTATTTTAAAATTGTGTAAATTTAACATTTTAAAGTTATTATAAAGGTGTTTTATTAAAATTTGAGAAAAAACTTTTATATCGTAGATTGGAGAATGTATTTCAGTAAGATTTTTGTAAAAAGTGTTGTGAAATGTTTAGCAAAAAATAGATCTTTTGATTTATTGATTTTATATTTTTTATTCTTTATTGTGACACATTTTGGATATACTGTAGCAAAATGTCTTTAAATAGTTCTTGAAGGAACACATTTGACACTGTTAAGGTACAAAGTGTTTTGTCACTGTAGTGGTACCTTGGTACCTGATCCTTGGTTCATGGATCAGATTTGTACCTTTGATGAAGGTACAATATTGTATCTGCAGGTCTTATAAAACAAAGGTACATTTTGGTTTCCCATGGTACAAACAATGTCCTTAAAGGTACAAACTGCAATGGTACAAATTGGTTTCTTTTTCTTAAGGTACAATTCTCTCCCATAAAAAGGTTCTGCCCCAGTGACAAGGGTTTGTACCTTCTTTGCTACAACATTGTACCATTTTTTCAAAGAGTGTAGAGGTTGATATGACATTTAGAATGTAAGAAGACCTAAAAAAAAAAGTTTTTAGGATGAGTAATAATAACATTAATAGTTACAGTACATGTCCCTGTCGAAGGTCAGTGAATTTAAACTAATTGTTTATTTTTTTACAGTAATATTAAAGGTAAAACTTTAAAACTATGCTATTGAATCTAATTGTAATTTTTCCAAAAAAGGACAAGCCATTCTCGTAACTTTGTTCTATGTGTGATTGAAATGACTTATGGCTAAGGCAAGAAATACCACTTCATCTTTAAAAAAGGGAAGGAGACCTTGCTTTCTCGAGTTTGACAAACCTGCCGTTTTGAAATGGAAAACCCAGAGTTTCTCTCATTTTAAGGTTAGCATACTCTGTTTTCACTTCACCACCTTACTGAAACAGGGCTCTGATATCAACAATAAATGTACAAATTTATATTTTTAAAAGTCTTTCTAAATATCACAGAATCAACCTGACTATTAAAATAAGATGAACACTGTTAGCACTTTCAGAAGATTTTTTGCAGCCAATGAAAGGTAAACAAAATATTGAAAGCCAATTAAAAATCAACCTTAAAAGCTGACAATAAAACTGTAGGTTGTGCATATAATAACAGAAATTTGTGCAAAGATGTGGGCACTAATATATTTATGCTATTTTATCATAAAATTTTAAGAATTACTTACCACCAAAAATGACCACAAGGCCTTTGTTTGTCTTTAAAAAACAAATTAAGATATTTTAGGTGAAATCTGAGAGCAATGTCCCAATAAGACAAGTCATTTTACTCAGCGGCCATGTTTGAAATGCCTCTCAGGCAGTATGCTGAATGGGGAAACATCAAATTCTCCAAAACTGTTTGCCAAGCTTGCGATTATATTTGGAATCACCAATAAATTAAACAACAACCATCTCATATGTTTTATTACTAAACTTCTGAATCAAACTAAATATTATCAGCATATTATCAGGTTGATCAAGTTATTGCGCATGCACACTCGAAAGAAACAAAATCATGACACGAACCTCATTTATGGCCGTTCTACACATTATCATCCTCTGAATACTGATTGTCTGATTGCACTGCTCTTCTAAAATAATAAATAGTAAATCTCCTCTAGAAATGACAGCGACTCTTTGTTTACAAGTTTGTGGGCATTTGAATAGTTGCTGTCATGTGATGTATGTTTGACTGGACTGACTGTACCTCGCATTCGTTTTATACAGATTACAAAACTAGAAAACTTTTCAGTTGCACTTGGTTCATTTTAAAGTAGAGATTTCAAGCGTTATCTGGATATATTTCTTATGTCTGTGAATCCAGTATTCACTGAGCTTCCAGTGTATTTGCTGACCTACAAACTGTTGTAAAAGCTCATGTCTGGTCTGAGCTTTTCCCTGGAGAAACGTCATTCTATAGCGATCGAAGATTAGCTCCTGTACAAGAAGGCGGGGCTTCATTCGCCATATTGACCTAAAAAAACTATACAAGTGACATGTCTTGTGTATTCTATAGACTTTGATAAACACCAATGTATTTTAGACTCAGAAGTCCAGAAAGTCCAAACAACACCAGAAAAATACAAAATAAATCTTCAAATTATACATTACTGCATGGGGCTTGTAAACGTGCACAATATACTGACACTGAGGAGAAGAAACTGTTGAATAAAGTGATTAGTTTTGCTTTATATGCACACACATTATTCTTGATTGTTAATGTTCTGATTGAACCACTGAATACACATGGACTGTTTTGAGGTTGTGTCTTGGTACCTTGCTGGATTTTGAACAAGTCAGAAAAGCTTAGTGTATGTGGAGGCTTAAAGAGCTCTCAGATTTCAAATGAATATCTTCATTTGTGTTTCAAAGACAAATAAAGGTCTTGGTGGTTTATAACAACATCAGTGTGAGTAAATAATAACAGAATGTTATTTTTGGGTAAACTAACCCTTAAGGCCAGTGTTTTCAATGTAAGGATGTGCTTTTAATGCTTTAAAGGGGTAGTTCACTCAAAAATAACAAAAATACTCATCATTTACTCATGCTAGGGATTCAAAACTTATAAATGATGGTAAAATTCCAAGGTTTGCTGTCTCCCTGGGACAATTACAGCCAAAATATATTACTAATACTTACATTTTACATTCAAATTTATTGTGTTATCTACATAATCAGCTTACTAATTATTCTAGAATTGTATTCAAATGCATGCTTACTTGTGCTGAATGCTTTAAATGGTTATTAATGTATGTAAATATGCTCTACTTTTATGACAAGAATACCAGTGACAACAATATTCTACCCTCCATCATATTTAACTTTTATGGCATATGTAACGCTGAAACTCTTCTATCAAAATAAGTAAAGAGGTAAATTTGACTTGAGAGGCCCTTCATGTACAGTTTGTAATAGGAGACTAGTTCCCATGTGAAAGCAGCATTATTCTCAAACAGTGTTTTCTTTGAGCCAGTGATGGTGCTTTGAATCACACTGACTCGACCCATAAGCCTCAGCAGCTGAGAGCTATAAAAGAGGATGACTATTTTAGGATCCCTGGTGAGATGAGTCTTAAACTTCTCTTTTTGCAAATGCTAAGTCATACTCAAGCCTGTGCTGATTAAGACAGATGCACACTTGCAGAGACAAGGGTACAGAAGCTGTATTGAATTTGGAAAAGTGATTTCATATAACCAGAAATACTCTTGAAGAACAGCATGCTGAGTAAGATGTGTAGCCGACTCTCTTCCAGGTTGGAATTGAAGGTAGTTTCCGCTGCCCTTCCTGTCGGCGTGAGGTCGTCTTGGGCCGTCATGGAGTTTTTGGACTGCAACGCAATTTGCTGGTGGAGAACATTATTGATGTTTACAAGCAGGAGTCTGAAAGGTCAGATCAAAGGGTGTTGAGTAATGGTTGGCACTTAACAACATAGTTCTGTTTCCATTCATTTATTTATTTATTTTTTGTAGGTGCTTTTTGCACTGTTGCAAAAAATGCCTTATGGAAACACCAAGATGTGCATACATTTAGAAAATGGACAAAAACTTATGCACAACCAAACATTTTATCTGGTAAAAGAAAATGTGGATGAGCTACACTCAAAAAAAGACGTCTGCTGTTTTTTCAAACTATTTAAATTGAGCTGAAACAACACAATTTAATTGTTTTAATTGTTTGAATTTGTAAAAATTAAGTTAACTTAATTATTTCATGTTGTCCCAACACAAATCAATTATGTGGAACCCAGCGTTTTTTTTTACAGTGTGTAATAGACAAAACAAATTCTCTGAACAAAAAAGTCATGTACCTTTGTTTTAACAGGTGGATGTAGTAAATTTCTAAAGCAAAATGGCAGTCCGCTTTCTTGTCGAAACTGAGGCCTGATTGTACGGCATTAATGGACAAGCCAGTGGACTGACCACATCACATCACATCACACTGGTTATTCTTAAATGCCTCAGCCAACATCCATCACTAAAATATTTGATCATCTGACGCTCAGAAAGATGTTATGTGCCTCTAAAATGCTGTTATGACATCTTTCATTGCATTTCATTAAGTTGTGTATTATATAAGAAAAAGGCAGAATTTAGATCTCTTTAACTAGATTTAATTAGATGGAAATGGTGTTTAATTTCAGTTTTGTGCATCAGTTTCTTTTGCATCTATGGATGGAAACCTAGCTAGCAATTATCTAGTAAATAATTATGTTTACTGATGTAGTATTATTGGCCAAAATGCAGGGTTGCAGACAATTCATTCATGTTGTCCCAACACAATTTCATTAGGTTTACGGAACTAATTTAAGTAGATTGAACATAAAACAACTAAGTTTCCCTCCAAAAATTCCGGAATTGTTTTGTTTCAGCTCAGTTTAAAAATGTAGTTTGAGCAAGCAGCAAAAAACTTTTTTCTTTTCTTTTCTTTTTTTTTTTTTTTTTTTGAGTGTATGCGTTTATTACCTGTTAACTTTTGTATCATATAGATCTTAATTAAATTATCCAGCTAAAACTGTCATACATTTTAAAAACTTTGGACCATGACTTGAGTTAGTTTTAGAGACTGTTGTCAGGTTTAAGCGTGTGAAAAAATGTAGTAAAATTGAAAGTGAACATGTCAAAGTTTATTTTGTTATTATTGTATTTTCACACACTGTAAAAATGCACAATTCATTTATGTTATCCCAACACAAATCGATTAAGTTAACTTAACACATTTATCAAATTTATGTTGATTGAACATAAAAAATTAAGTTGTCCCAATGAAATCTCAAGAATTGTGTTGTTTCAGCACATTTTAAATAAACAGTTTTATCAAGTAAAAAAAAATATTTTTTTTGAGTGCATTATATAAAATCTTTTCATTTCCATAAAATTTTACTGTAAAACTGGTATCCCATACATATTAAAATAAAACGGTCAAGGATAAAAACACAATAAAGCCTGGGGCTTGTTCTCATTGTGGTCCTTGCTGTCAAAAAAAGTATAGCTGCAAAGTACAGTTAATGAATAAAACAAACAAAATTATTCACGATACAACAACATAAAAACATCAACCATGCAAACTAACGACCCTCATTAAAACAACCATCTTTTGACCACTTTTTTGAACCTCCTTGAATCTTTTATTTTCTTGACCGGTTTTGGTCATTTGTTCCACATGATTGCACTTGTATATAAAAACAGATTTTTCCTTACTACATTTCTTAATTTAACAAAACAAATATTAAAATTCCAACCCCTAGTATAGGCATGCTGTTGCCTCACCATTTGAAAAATAGTGCACCAAACAAAGCTTCAGAAGTTTATCTTTAAAGATTTCTCTTTTAAATGTATCATATGTCAATGTGTCTTTAGCTATAGGCCTCCACCGATGCCTCCTGCAGAGTTCAACTGTAAAGAGCATGAAGATGAGAAGCTCAATATTTACTGTATCACGTGTCAGCAGCCGTCCTGCTCTCTCTGTAAGGTGTTTGGGGCACACAAGAACTGCAAAGTAGTTCCTTTGCCAGATATTTACCAGAAGGAGAAGGTATGAAAGCATTTGTGCTATTATTTAACATCTTTGTAGCAGTCAGAACAGTTCACTCATTTCACTTCTCACAGGCTGAACTCAGTGACAGACTTGCATCTTTGGTGTCCACAAATGAGCGTGTTCAATCATTTGTCAATGATCTAGAGGCGCTCAACAGGAACATAGAGGTTTGTGTTGATTATGTATAAAGAAATTACATTGTAATAAACTTTGATATTAAAACACCAACATAATATCCTACAATACCACTGTGACAGGAAAACAGCAGGATCCAGAAACAGATTCTGTGTGAGAAATTTGATCGCATGTCTGCCATTCTGGAGGAAAGGCGTAAGATCATGATGCAACAAATCACTTTTGAGCAGGAAGAAAAGACGGGCTGGACCCAGTCTCTACTGCAAACCTACAATGAGCATTTGGACACAAACTCAAAGTTGATCCAGGCAGCCCAGAGTGCCATAGACGAGCCTGAGATGGCTGCTTTTGTGCAGGTATAATCATCTTTTTTGCCTCCTTAGTGGCATCCACTGTATCTGTCTATTTATCTATATTTTGAATGTCAAACATGACACTTTTATCTCTTTTATAGACCTCAAAGGATCTTACTGAGAAGTAAGTCTCGCCCTTTTAAACAAATTTAGCACAGCCTTGTCCCTGTTGAACTCAACCATGTAAGAATAACAGACTTTCAAGACATGAAATTGTTAGAAAAAAACAACAACATACTAATCAACCATTTGGGCTGCTGTTGCTACTACTACTTCTTCTTCCACTTCTGCTGAAATCAAATATCTAAGCAGATACTTTTTTAAAATGATGCTAACTTCATGTAAATTCATGTAAAGATGTCATAGAATGCATTATTACAATGTTAATTTCTTCTCTGATATCTACATAGAATGTATGTGGCTTAGGTAAATGCACAAATTCTCCAGAAAATATTTGTTTTGTGGTCATACATAACCGCACATCATGATTTTGCCAAGTATGATGCCATCCTAACATCTATGTTGATCCTGGAGCATCATTTTCAGCAACAACATACACTCTCAGAAATAAAGGGACATGAGCTGTCACTGGGGTGGTACCTTTTCAAAAGCTACACATTTGTACTTAAAGGGTCCATACTGGTACTTCAAAAGTATATATTACCTACAAATTATAAGAGGAACACTTTGTACCCTTGAGGTATTAATATGGATCTTTTAAGTACAAATTTGTACCTAAGGGTGTCACCACCCTTGTGACAGCTCACAAACCTTTATTTTTGAGAGTGTAGATGTTAATTCTTAATTATTTTTATTTAAATGGGCTCATTTTACAACCCTCCTGGAATTAAACACTTGAGTGTTACTATATTTGAATTCATTCAGCCGATCTTTACCTTAGCTTAGTATAAATCATTGATTTGGATTAGACAATTAGCATTAGTTCAAAAGAATCAAAAAAAGAGTAAAGCTAGACTATTCTCTTGTTAACCTACACTGAATGCTAAGTCTGATAGAAAAAGTACAGTTGCTATTTTCTAATCTGATATGGATCGAAACTTTACTCTCATTCTGGCTAAATAATCAGGGAACGTTGTTGCCGTACCATCAGACAAATTGATATTATGCAGATTCAAACTGGAAGTGCAAGTGTAGCATTTGGTGTTGAGGGCTATTTTCAGCCATTATTACACCTGCTACAGACATGGTATGGCAGAAGAATTTCTTGATTATTACACCAGTATGAAAGTATAGCTTCAATCAATAAAATGGAGTGTAATTCAAATAAAAGGGAGAGTTCATTTAAAGCTTTTTCAAAAGAAGAGTCCCACATACATAATAACTATATCACATCCTTAGATAAACTTAAAAATAAGGGGGGAAATTATTGTAGTAATGTCTCTTGTGGCCAATCAAAAACCGCCTGGGGTGTGCATATTAATTATCCCAAGAAAAATTATCACAGTTTAATTTTAATTGGTCTGTTTTTCACCAGAGTTTTATACTCACAGGATTTACATGAGAAGGAGAAAACAATGGTGTTCTGTACCCTTGTATGTCATTTACATGTGCTGAACTTATTATTCAACTATGCCTATCCAGATTATTAGTTTAAGACACCATAAAAATATGCTAATATGGTTGAAATTCCTTGATAGAAACTTGCTAACAAGATGTTTATTCATGCTAAAACATTAGCAACTGTCAAATTCATGTTAGCGTCATCCTATCTGTCTGCTTGCCTGTTTGTCCAACATCAAGCTTACAAACTACTTCAGACTTTCAGGCTCAGCTTTCACAAGTCAACACAAATATCATTATTTAACTCCTCATTAAATCTCTTTTTAAATCTTGTTAGTGCATTTATCCAACTACAGTACCTGTCCTTTCCTCTGAAGGGTTGGTAAAGCGTCAAAATGCTTCACTCTGGAGACTCTGGATCCTGATTATCAGAACATGGATCACTACAGGGTGGATTTCGATGCAGAGGAGAGAGTCCTGCAGCAGCTGGATTTCATGGAGAGTAAGTATCATTGACCGAGTAGATCAGGGGTGCCCAATCTCAGTTCTGGAGGATTGATGTCCTGTAGAGCTTAGCTTCAACTTGCCACAACATACCTGCAGTTGCATGTTTTAGCAAATGCTTGATTTGCCCTCCAAGACAGAGTTTGGGTGACTCTGCAATAGATAAACTTATTTATATGTTTTATGTTTAGTCAGAGATCAGACAAATTCTGCATCTTTACAGTTGAACCCGAAGTGGAGGAAACACCCGATGAACCAGATTCTGAAGCAGAGTCTGAAACCGAACCACTACAGACTCCAGAACCAGAATCTGAAGCAGACCAGGATCTAAAGTCAGAGGGTTCTGAGGTGGCAAATCCCACGCCTGAGACAATGGAGGACAGCTGGAGACAAGAAGACAGCTGTGGAGATCTCAAAAAAGTGGCCATGTGTGAGAAGAATGGCTTAAGCACTGCACAGGTACATTCATATTTGCCATTGATTTAATTATTTTTAGTTACTGTTTTATTTATTGTGGGTATATGACAATAATTGTACTTGTCAATAGTTATTATTAAAATGTTTTTATGTCAATAGTATTTCAGTCGTATTTTGTTTGTTTCATTTTATACTTTGAATAATTTTAACAGTGTTAATAATAGATAATTAATAATATACATATATCATTCATTTATTTCCAAATTTTAGTAAAGAAAGAAAGAAAAAGAAAGTGTTTTTTTTTTTTTTTTTTTTTTAATTGTTGTTGTATTTTCTTTTCTCAGGTTGTAACTCTAGTCCTTTATTTCCTGGCCTTTCTGGTCATCCTACAGCGAATATGGGGACACATCCAGTGCTTTATTTTTATATAAGGACAGCATAAAGACACATTCAGCAGGTCAGAATTATAATTTTCACATGCTGTTTTATATGAAAACGGAGTGAAATATTTCTGTAAAAGTAAAAGTAGAGAAAGAATTAAGAACAGATTAAACTGGTTTATGTTCAAAATCACCTTTCCCAATTTTCTTGAAACGTTCACACATTTGAGCTCTTTCATGATTATGACTGAGCCCTCCAGTGGTCACCGGTGAGACTGCCGGTCTCAAGAACGAGGACCTGCTGTCACTCAGAACAGGTTTCCGCGGGTTCTCTTCTTGATTTGGTTTTTGGAACAAACCTTACTGTGTTTGTGCTGATAATTAAAACATTGTGTCTACTTAATTTTGGTTGTGTGTTTTGTTTGTTTAATAACAAGTCATTTTGATGTAAAGATCTTGATTCTTTCAGTCTATGCTGGAATGCTATTTAATAAATATGAAATGGTGTATTATCTTGAGTTTAAAACATGTCCCCAACTCCTTATTGAGTTTAGACTTGGGGTGTCATGATATCAACAGAGGAAACACTTTTTCTTTTTTTTACAGGACTTTTCTTATGTGCTGATGAAAATTGTTTGTGTAATCTTAAGAGTCATATGTTTTAATTAAACCTCGCATTTTATTTACTTATTTTATTTTATTTTTTAAAGCATGGCCACGATCAAGTTGGAATTAAGTAAAATTACCACACACACACACACACACACACACACACACACACACACACACACGCACACACGTAAAAACAGACCAGTTGTAAGTTTCAAAGTGTTAAACAATTGAACATACTTTTGCTGAACAGATATTTAACTTACAATAAAATACATTAGAAAATATAATTTGGACATAAAAACTACAGTACTCATGATGCTGTGCAAAAATGCAACAATCAAACTGCAAAATGAGGCAAATAATCTACCTATGCTCTCAATCATGTACTATTTTTAATAAACTTTAAATAGTCTATATTATTCTTATAAATGCAACCAAGAATGTCAACTGAATAATATTGAATAATAAGTTTTATAATTTTACATTTTGATTTATGATGCTTCTTGATATTGTGGTTCTTCTCATTACAGCCATTAAGTAGTATTGCTTTCTTTATTTAATTTTTCTTCATCATATATTTCTTTGTTTGAAATCAAAGTTTATAATGTGGTTCTTGTAGCTGATTTGATTTATGGCGTATTATGCTAGAACAATTTTTAAAATTCCTTTAGGGAAATACATTTCCAGGAACAGCACTACTAAAAATGGATTGGCACCAATACAAAATAAATAAATAAAAATGAATGTATGAATGAATGATTGAATGAATGAATGAATAAACGAATGAATGAATGAATGAATGAATGAATGAATGAATGAATGAACGAATGAAAAAAAGAGTCATTAAAGACGGAGTGGACATTGTTTGAATTGATATTACAAAGTTGAATATCAAACAAAAAAATCTATATTTGAATAATTTATAATAGATATCACAGCATTCCTTGATAAAAGTATTTTGTCTGTTTTGATTTGGAAAAAAGGTTGTTTGACTGAAACATTGTTTCAGCAGGGTTTTTTCACACCTCTACTTTGGAAAAAGTCAGGAAAGTGGGTGTGTCCAGTTCTGTTTAGGGGGGAGTGTCAGAGAAAAAGAGGGAGGGTCTGTAAAAAATTGCATAAAAATGGGAGTGTCGGATTGGGCATGCACTGATTTTCAGAGACAAAACACTCAGAGGAGAGAAAGACAGTGACTGTGTTTACATGGACATCAGTAATCTAATTATTTGACAAATTATTAAATAGTGGAGTTTAACTGCAGTTTGGCTCTTTTATTCAGGAATTTCATTCATGCCCCTCATCATGACAAACGAGATATTTGATCCGAGGAACTGCTCTAAGCATGTATTTTTCATACAACGTTTGATAACGCATGGCGAATGAGAGAAAAAAAACCTCTGCATTTCCAGGAAACGTAGATGCACTCGGCAGGTAGCGTCAAAAAGCAGTGTGTGTTATTCCTGTCACAAAATGCAGTGAAAATCCCACACGACGGTAATTTTGATTGTGGTGCTAACATGTTTACACTCGGTGTAATGGTTAGTTCAATATGAACTTTGCCATCTGCATAAACAAAGACCACTGGTCGCTCACATACCAAATCTGTAGAGACAGGACAATCAACACCAACTAGCCGCATCTTTATTAAGAGGAGACGAGTGGCAAATCCGGATCTCACCATTTCCAGATGAGTAAAGCTCTCGTTTAAAAAAAATGTCCCTTAGACACGTATTGTTGTCGAGCGTTGTGTGCACTGTAATCCACACGTGAGTCCAGCTGCGCTCTCATAGAGAGAAAATGAAAACGAAACCTTAACTGCAGCAAATTATAAAAGCAACACTGCACACTTGTTTTGACAACACAGCGTGTCGTCTCTCTGCCATCTGAACACTGTAACAGGTAAAAACAGTCTTGAAAGCCATCATGCATATTAATGAAGTTGCACAATAGAGTGCACAGATTGGTTTAAACCATGTCTTTCTCATGCATTAATGCAGCACACTCAGAGACGTAATAAGGCACTCCCAGGTACAGACATCCAGTCTACATGCTGGAAAACACACTAAGATCTCATGGCTGTGATGCAGCTTCAAAAATTTGTTTCAAACCGGAAGTATGAATTTGCTCGAAATAACGCAAAAACAACCAATTTTCTCTTTTTAGTGAAATATATGTGTCCTAATAGTGTTTTTAGCAGTGTGGAACACATATACGACTGTCACCAGCTCAAAAAATGTGTTTTGGTGTTTTGTGACCCTTTAACAAAAATATATTAACTCCATTAAAAATGGAACTAGAAACATTACTCAATTGCATATCATCAATATTTTGAAGGAATACTTTGATATATTTTGAAATAATACATTTTTAAAATATTGAAACAAAAATTTGAAGACTTGTACACTAATAAAATGTAATACTGTTATGGCTTTTATTTACTTTTATTTTTTTCTGTTGATCTGTATAAACTTTATCTGTGTAAAATGCTATAGAAATAAATGTGGCATAGTATTTGATAAATAAATCAATGCTCACACCTAGACACATGTGTTTTCTGACAACTACAATTTCCCAAAAGGTGTGTTTTAATTTCATTCATAGAAATGCAATCTTTTTGAAATAATCATTTACATTTTATAGACCAATTATGTTTTTCAAAGCTATTTTTTATTTATTTTTTTATTTATTTTTTTCTTGGAAAAATAAAATCCAAATACAACAAAATGGCATTCGACTTTACAAATTATGTTGCACACATGGAAGGCTAAACACAAAATAATATGCAAAAATACAAAAAAAAAATGTGAATTACAAAAGTCATCCAAACTAAAATAAAACTAAAAGCGAAAAAACAAACAAACAAACAAAAAATAAATCATTATAAAACAGATATTGGCTATGGCAATTTATATGATACAAATAAATTAAACATTTTGAGGCATTTTTTGTTTTCATTTTAGCCAGGGCATCCAAAAAGATTTTAAGTTCTTTTAAAAAGACACTGTGTAGTGGAGGTGTTTTGAAATATAATTAATGTTAATAAATAAAATATTTGCTTAATACAACGGTAATATTTATAAAATCGCGTAAAACAGAACAACCTTTAGTGATTCCTTACGGTACATCTTGGAATGTAAAAGTCAAACCTTCTGCATCCACATTCTTTATTATCAAACAGTCTTGCACTTTTTTCCAAAACATTTGAACAGAGCTCCAAGTAAAAAACATGTGTTCTGTGTCTTCAATTAAGTGTTTACATAAATGGCATGGTGAATTTTCTGAATTAAATTTAAAGTGTAAAAACCTATTAGAAGGGTATTTAATATTTAAATTGTACTTCTTTTGCCTTGGGGAGAATTGGAAATGTTTAACAGTATTTTTATTTATGAATTAAAAACTTTATTTCTTAATACTTGATAGGAGAAGCAATATTGGATAATAATTTGTCTTAGATGTTTATTAGTCCAAAATGTTTTATTGATTTCAGTAAGGGGAGGGCTGGAGTAATTTTCGAATAAGATTGGAAACTTTTCATTTACATTTTTATACCTGTAGGTATTGCAATAATAACAGTGAAAACTGCTTTGGATGACAAGCAAATCCGTCTCTTAAAGTAAATTATTATTATAACTTGATAGCAGAAAAAGGGTCGCGTCCAACGTCATCTGACAGCGCCGGAAGAACAGCACACTGGGCAGCTCTTCAAGCTGAGCTGGCTGATCGCTCGGGTTCTGCTGTGGGCTTGTCAGGCGCTTTTGGATGTTTTGATAGAAGAGGGAAGACACGTTACCAGGTTTTTGCACAGTCCTCTCAATTCTTTTACCGTCAAGACAGCGTTTTGAAGAGCTAAACTCGACGACATGGACACCGCCAATCAAGGTAAACAAAAACAAAGAAGTCGAGCGCGTTCATAACAGTTGTTGCGTTTGTCGCGTAATGTCAAATAACTGAAGCCTTATCTCTGGATCCCAGCGCGGTGAATGTGCGCTGGAGAAGGGGAGATAAGGGCAGGGCAGGCGATCGGGTTACTAATGCACAACAACAACACGGGACAGCTGAGGGCAGATTTGTATTGTTAACGTTACATTGATTTGATTTGTATCTAAATCACACGTGCAGTGGTGAAACTATATCCTGCATAACGTTATTGCTCGTGCGCTTTGCGTTTTCACGTATTTGGATTTGGGTTTTCAACATGAACTCATGAGTTGAGACATCGCTTGTCGTTTTGTCTGTGGTCAGGTTATGTGATGTTATTTAAATGAGCAGTTTAGGGTCATCGAGGGCCTGATGACATGCCTCATTAATATAACTCAGACCCAAGTGACACCCCCTCACAGACTGACCTAAATTGAGCACGGTTTGATCTGTGAAACCTTTGGACTGCGTACACGTGTGTTCAATCGTTGAAAACCTAGAGTCAATAAATATATCAATTATATATTGTTTTTAATTAAGCTTAAGGAACATTTGAAGGTAAAATGTATTCTCTCCCTTTGGAGAAATTTGTTTTAGAAAAAAAGTTATGTTGTACATAGATACCCACAAAACTCTAACCCTAAAATACCTTCTAATATAAATACAGTTCCATTAAAACATTCATTCATTTTCTTTTCAGCTTAGTCCCTTTATTAATCCAGGCTCGCCACAGAGGAATGAACCGCCAACTTATCCAGCTCTTTTTTTACGCAGCGAATTCCCTTCCAGCCGCAACCCATCTCTGGGAAACATCCATACACACTCGTTCACACTCATCCACTACGGACAATTTAGCCTACCCAATTCGC